AGGCCGCCAGCGCTGGAGGCAGCTGCCGGTTCAGTAGCTAAGAGAAGCCATTAACGGCGTTTGGCGAGAGAGCAGAGGGGAGCGCGGGCTCTGGATACAGACAGGCCCCGGCCGCGTCCCTGTGGGAACCGGAGTTACAGCCCAACCCCAGCCGTGAGGGGCCGCACTGGGGGTGGCCCCGCGGCCCGCAGGGACTGGAAGGGGATGGCTGAGGAGGGCGGCTCTTCCCAGCCTCTCCTGCCAGAGGTCACGGCCACCCTGAACCCCTCGCCTGGCCACGCTTCCTAGACAAACACACCCGCAGGCCTGCTGGGCGCGGGCGGGCCGCTCCTCCCTGAGCAGAGGCCCCAGCCTCAGTTTCTCTCAGCGCGCGGCAGGAAGAGGAGGGGCTGCTGCTGCTGCTGCTGCGAAGGCCGCACCAGCCCCTCGCCCCGCCCCTACACCCGGCCCACCTCCCCAGGGTCCCGGCGGCTGGATGAGATCACGTCTGTGAGAAGCTCCGGGTGCTGTGGGGAGAGGGTGAGGTGGCCGTGCGGGGGTGGGATGGCCACAGCTCATCCAGGGGCTCCACCCCCACCTTCCCCAGCCTCGCACCAGCCTGAATCTGGGGATGGAATGAGGAGCCCCAGTGTGCAGAAAGAGGAACTAGCACTCTCCCGTCAATGGTTGGTCAAGCTTAAGAAAGTCAGTGTTGGGCAGGGGGTCCCCAAAGTGAGGCCACATCAGATGCCAGAAGCCCCAGTGTCCCCAGCCTGAGCCCTGGATCCAGACCTGGGGTGAGCGGGCAAGGGGCCCAAAGAGAAGCAGTAGCAAGCAGGCCACCCTTCCACCCTTAGCAGGAGATACAGGCCTGGCACAGCTACCTCCGCACGGCCCTTAGGGCTCCCAGGAGGACACACCCTCCAGGACTTCCCTGTCCACTGCCAAAGGCCTCATCCAGAGCCCCGAATGGGCCTAAAGTCACAGCTTGGCCCACCCAGCCAGCTCTGCCCAGTGCCTTGAGACGGCCAAGGAGCACCAGGGTCCTGGTGCCCCTGGCCACCTCCAAGGACTGCCAAGGGAAGGGGCTGTTGATCAGAGGTCTGAGCAGGGGCTGCCCCAGTAGCAGGCTATGACCCCTCATAAGTGCCAACCAACTAGGGTACAGCCAAGGATGGGCAGGCCTCTGCCCCAGGAGGGGCTGCCGTGTGTACCCCCAACACTCGGGCAGAAACGGTGCAGGAAGCTCAAGGTGTGCCCCTCTCTCCTCGCCCCCCACCCCTGAGCCCTCACCCAGGCACCAGGGCGGCCACTGTCTCACTGGAGGCTGCAGGCTCAGCACCTCCAGCCCCAACCTCTTTCCTGCCCACCTGCGGCTCCAAGCCCCTCCCCCTCCGCAGCCACCACCCCTTGGCTCCAACAGTGTGGGGCCTGAACACCGGCTCCTCGGCAGGGACACATCTGCCTGGCCTGGCTGGCTCCTGAAAGCTAGGCTCTGCCGCCCCCTCGAGCCGCTGGCCGGGGGTGCTGGCAGAAGCAGGGCAGGGCGGGCACCTGGGCTCCCGCGCTGTCACTCAGGCCTACATGTGGGATAGTCATCACCAGAGGAAGCAGCCCTCGCAGCTTCCTCCCGGCTCAGCAGGGGGCTGCCCGCCCCGCGGCAGGTCACCACACGGGCCAGGCCGCCGCGAGGAGCTCCCCATGTGGGCAGGCAGGCGGGCAGTCCCGGCCGAAGGCCCGCCAGCTCTGGGGAGCCCCCACCTCTGCACTCCTCTCACAATCATCATCGATTTCTCAAAATACCAAATATAAAAAAGTAGCCGACAGGATGTGGCTGCCGACAGCCGGAGCCCCCGGGAAGGGGAGGGAGACAGGCAGGGAGCCGCGCTGCACGGCCCCCCTCGCCGGGCTGAGTGCGCCCGCTGCTCCGGCCAGGAAACCAATTTATTTTGTTTTGTCTCTGTTCTCCGAACGCGCAGCAGAGACCGGATCGGGCGGGCGGCCAAGGCTCTCGCAGCCGCTGCCAAGAGAGCGCAAGGATGGGGGAGGAAACAGAGTAGGAAGGGGGCGCGTGTCTCCCCCAAGCCCCGGGGACAGCCCCTGACAGGCAAGCAGGAAGAGCTCCTGCGGGAAGTGAGAACCCCATTTCTGCAGCCCCCAGGCCCCAAGAAGCCCGGCTCCCTCACACCCAGGGGTGCTGGACACAGGGGCCACAGCCCTGCCCTGTGGTCGGGCCATGCCAGTGAGGGAACAGGTACCCGCCACCTCGAACCCAGAGCTTCTGAGCCTCCCAAATCAAGGGCAGCCGACCCAGTCTCCTGGACACAGCCTCTCGATGCCACAGCTCCCAGAGAGACTGCCAAGCCCCACCACACTTTCCCCCTTTAGAAAGTAAACTCCGTGACAGAAACAGCCAAGTTTTCCTGTCCCTCCTGAGTAAGTGCTCCTGGAACTCAATCAGAGGACTGATGTGATGGCCCCAGAGGGAAGGGGGGCAGAGCCAACAGGACATCAGGAGATACCCTGTCTCCTGCCCGCAGCCTTGGCCACTCCCGTGGCCCATCCCACAGACAGAGGCTCAAGTCTGCTCACACGCCACACACAACAGAGGGGGTGGACACCCGGACCTATCACCCCCCACCCCCACTGTCCCAGCTCAGGCCTGCTGGGTGTGAAGGAAGCCACCTCCGGCTTCTCCATCCAACCCAGGCCATGAGAACAGCTGCCAGGAGCACACAGGGAACCCAGCATCAGCCACCCTGTGTACACGGACGTTCAGGAGCCACAGAGGCCCATCCATGGGGCTGGGGATGAGGCGGGTATCTCGAGGGTAGCCAAGGTACGCCCAGTCTCCCTAGCCTCCCCTGGAGATGACATACACAAATTGCTGCAGTCGTGTCCCAGACCCCAAAATCGCTCTTCCAGACAGGGAACAGGGACCCATGCCAGGACGCCCACTGAGGCCTCAGAGGCCTCACTGTGGCCAATTCCCCCTGCCCCAGGCAGCACAGCCCACCTGCAGGAAGGCCCCCACACTGCCCCAGTGCCACCCTGGCCTGGGGCCCAGCACCCACTCTGGGCAGCTCTGGACACCACCTGGGCCCTGGTGGGAGGGCCCCCCACCCTGTGTGGCGGGAAAGCGAGCCCGAGCCCCACCTCCTCGTCAGAGCTGTCCTCCGCATACTCGTCCCCGCTCTGCACTCTCACCATCTCTGTCCTCGGAGGGCCGGCCTGTGAGAGAGGGGGAGAATGGTTACTCCAGGGGACACAGGATGACCTTTGACCTAAAGCAGATCCCAGGTCCCAGGAACCCAGCACCCTCTCTCCGTGGTGGAGCATGTGGGAAGAACTGCCCCCCAACGCTTAGGCACAGGGCCCAACAGCCCCCAAAGGACACCCCACCACCCCCAAATCTCTGAGCAGCTCCAACCTGGCCCCAGGCCTTAGCACAAGACCGAGGATGCCCCCGCTCTAAGTGAGACTGGGGATGCTGTGCCACTGGTGCCCAACATCACAGACCCACCCAGGGTCCCATCAAAGACCCCCCGGGAGGCCAACACTGGGCACCAGACCAGAAAAGGAGCCCACACAGCAGTCAGCAGCAAGGCTCCCAGCCAAGGGTAAGCCCCAAACCATATGCTGGGCTCCTGGCCCAGCAGGGGAGGTGATCCCCAACCAGGGGTCAGGGACAAGGTAGGGGAGACAGGAGGAGCGGGGTACAGCATGGCCATGGTGCTACCACTGGGGGCAACACTCAGGGGAAGGGCAGGTGGCCATCAGCCTGTCACTAGGGCCAGAGCCAGCCCACTCCTAAGGACAAGATCTTCAGCCCAGCCCAGCCCACCAAGGGCCCAGAGAAGGGCCTCAGCCCTTGGAATGCCCCCAGGCACCCTGTTCACCCACCCTCCCTCCCCACCCATGGCCCCAGGCCGACCTCGTCCCTGAGAACTCACACCCCCACCTGGAAAACAAATTCTCCGCTTGCTGGGGAGGCAGGACCAGCTCGGGTTTACTGGCGGAACCAGGACTGATGGGGAAAACAGGCCCACCTCTCACCCGTGGGGGCAGTAAAGTGCTTGGGAGTAGGAACCCCTAAGTGCGGGCGCCCCCCGCCCAGAGCCCACTCCCTCCTGCCCAGGCAGGAGCCAAAGGCCTGTGGAGCTCGGCTCTTCCTCTCGCCTGTTTTTTCCCTCAGTATAAGAGAGATGGGAGACTAAGTTTTTTTCCAGGCCAGGAACAAGACAGGATTTGGTTTCCACACCTCCCCCGCCCCCAGCTCCCCCACTGCCCACGTAAAGTGGGTCAGCACTGCCTGGTGGTGGGGCACCGGGTGGGGCGCCCGGGGCTGCAGAGCATGGTGGGTGAGCCCCAAGCTCCTGCTTCTGCCCAGGGCACGCAGGCCCCCACCCCAACAGACAGGCTCTGAGTAGGCCCACACACTCTGGAGCCCCCACCCCACAGCAGCCCCCAGGCTCGGTGGGGCATACCCTTGGGTGGGGGCAGTCTGACACCAAGCTGTGGTCAGCTGCCGCTCCCAGAGCATGCGTCTGCAGCACTGGCCTCCGGCCGGGCCCTGACCCCCAACCCCCAAACCCCCTCACAGAGACCTAGGGTGCCAATACTCCCCACCAGGCACTGCACCCTACAAGCGCCCACCATGGTGCCCACAGGCCCGGGCCACAGGGTCCTGGCAGGAGACAACAGACCTGCCGCCCAGCACTGCCACCCCACTGCCCCATGATGGGCATAGCCAGGCCACCAGCACTGCAGAGTGGGCACCGGGGGAGTGGGATGCAGGCAGGCCCTTGCAAGGGGAGGGCTCTGCGCTCCCTCGCTTCTGGGTAAACAGCCAGTGAGCGGGAACCGGTCTGTATGTGGGATCCGAACCCTCGGTGGGAGCACTGCCCCGCTCCCAAGCGGCGCACTGTAGCAGTGCACCACCAGGCTGGCCCAGAACATCTCTTTTTAAATTAAAAAATTATGAAGAGGGCCGGCCCGGTGGCGCACTCGGTAGAGTGCGGCGCTTGGGAGTGCAGCGGCGCTCCTGCCGAGGGTTCGGATTCCATATAGAGACTGGTCCGCTCACTGGTTGAGCGCCGGGTGGGGGCGACACGGAGGGTTGCGATCCCGTTGCCGGTCGCGGTACGGGCGCGACATCGAGGGTTGCGATCCCGTTACCGGTCACGAAAAAAGACAAAAAGGAAAAAAAAAAATTATGAAGAAAGATCACCAAACCATCAAAAAAAGAAAAAGTCCATTTCCTCTGGGACAGGAAGCAATGTCGGTGTCCTGGCCCAGCCTCAGCACACACCCCCCACCCGCGGTGCCTCTTGCTCTCCTGAGCAGACACATGGCCCTGCAGGGGAGGCTGCCCAGAATGACACAGTCCCCCAGCACCCACCCGAGCACAGGCTCAACCCTGCCCAGAGTCCCCCCCAATGGCAGCCTCCAGCGAGGGGCAGTGCTCACACCATGCTCCCCAAGACGGTGCCAACACCTGGACCCCAGAGCCCACAGTGACACCTCAGCCTGAGCCCAGTACTCATTCAGAGCTGCCTCACCTGGCGGTGGCCCCCACCTGCCACTCCGCACAGCCTATGCTGAGACCCAGTGGGATGCCCTCTTGCATTAAGCTCCACGCACAGACAGAAATCTCTTAAACTATCCTGAAATGCTACTTACACACCAGGAATTGTTTCTAGGCCTTTTCTTATATTCTTGAATATGACAAGCAGACTGAATGGCCATAAACTGGAACTTTTGCAAAATAGCACTTGGGAAAGCATGGTACTGGTAACACCAAGGTCACAGCTAGACAACAACAAAACAAAAGGAAACAAAATAGAAAAAAATCCACCTAAGTAAAAAGACAAAGCCAAGCACACATAGAAAAGTGGGTCTACGTAGCCCCATAACACCACAGTCAAGGGTTCTGCTCCTGGAACAGGCCAGCTTCCCCCCCAAAAAGAAAAAATGGGTCTAAATGGGCACAGATGGGAAAAAATGGCTTTAAGCCCACAAACCCACTCAGCACCAGCAACAACGGGAAGGAACACGACGATGTGACAAATCACACTCCACAGGAGCCTGGAAGGGTCTGTTAAATGGGGCCTTGCACTGCTGGGGACGGCGCAGGGCATGAATGCCCGGGTGGGATGCAAAGCAGGGGCCTCACACAGATGGGGCAGGAGGTGCAGGGCTGGAGTGTGAGCGTCAAGAGCTCCACAGGGACAAACGATGCCCAGCGGCGCAGGGAACACATGGCCCGGGGCTCCCCTCCAGCTGGGGCAGCCTCACAGACACACTGGCAGGACCTGGAGGGGCAGAGGCTGGACAGAGTGCCCAGGGGGCCAGGGGACTGGCCCAGTAGATAAGGCTCAGGTAACCCAGGCAGTGAGGAGCAGGGACAGGCCTGATGAGACCTGAAGGGAAGGGCTGAAGGCAGGAGTGCGTATCAGACAGGAGCTGGAGGTGCAGCTCGTGCAGCCCTCGCAGTGGGCCAGGCCTGCACAGCCAGCACAAGAGCGAGCTGATGGTGACATGGGGAGCAGGCAAGATCACCACAGCAGAGGGGCAGGAGCTGTTCGCCTCATCCATGTCCTAGGGAAAAGGATACCCACCTCAACAGCACACACAAACAACAATGAACAAGACCCACTGGCTGCAGGTAAACTGCCCCCAAAGCTGTGGAACCCACCACAAGCATGCTGGGCTCTGCCTCGAACCCAGCTCCTTGGGAGCACCAGCACCCAGCCCCTTTCTAGATCCATGTTCTACATCCTCTTACCAGCCCCAAATACACCATGCCCTTCCTCACCTAAGTTCCTCCTGCCAAAAGCCAGGGGAGTGACCTCAGAGGGTAACCCCAAGCCCTGCTTCCACCCGACTACACGTCCAAAATGCCAGGGTTCCTAACTCGCAGAAACAGTGGGACAGTAAATGCTTGCTGGTGAAAGCCACTAAGGTTTGGGGTAATTTGTTACACAGCAATAGAAATGGACGCAAACAGAGGAAGACAGCAGAGGGCTCCTGCTCCGGGGACCTTGGACAAAATGAGTCGAGGTTTCCTGACCCCCTCCCCCCACACTCAGGTTCCCACGAGGACACTCCACTCGCTTCTGGGTAAAGGCACAGTTGATCCAACCAACAGAAGAGGATAGAAGGTGCTTCTGGTATCCCGGACAGTGAACTGAGCTTCAGGGGGGGAAAGGGTTAAAAGGAAGTTCTAGGAAAAGAGATGAAGAGGAAAAGAGCTGACAGACACCCACCCTCCCCACAAGGCTCCCAAAGTCAGGGCGGAGGCCACAACTGCAGGGACTTCAGGGCCCTTCCTGGGGCACAGCTCAGCAGTGAGCTAAAGCCCACATAAGTGCAGAGCTGGGGCGGGGAAGACGGCACAAGGGCACAGACATGAGAAGGAGACAGAAGCCATGGCAGTCAAGAAAACTATGTTTCAGATGCTCAGGGATTCAGCTGAAATGGTTCTCACAGGAACAGAGGGAAAGATGTCTCACCCCTAATGAAGGGAAAACTGTACAGCCACAAGATACCATCCTCTCCACCTCCCACAGTGGAAGAGATACAGAAGTTGACCACGCAGGGCACCAGCAGGGACTGGGAGACCACTGAGATGTGGCTGCCGGCTGCGAAGCACTGCAGCTTCAGAACGGACACCCAGGACGCCCTTGCAATGAAAAATGCGTCTACCAGCATGGCAGGCTAGATCCGCTGTCAGAGCACGGTGCTGAGAACGCCAAGGTCCAGGGTTCAGTCCCTGCACCAGCCAGCCGCCAAAAAACAAAGTGTTTACCCTTTGACGCAGAAATCCTTCTCAGAATTTATGCCAAGAATTGCTCGTACACGTGAGAAAGAGCATAAAAGACGTTATTATCATAGCACCACTTACAATAGTGAAAGATTGCAACTGTCTGCCCATTGCAGCTGGTCAGATCACCACCATGCATCCCCACAGGACACTGAGCAGCTGTGCTGTGCACGTACAGACAACAGCAATCTCAAAGACAGAAAACATCATAGGGCAGCATGCGTGTATGCTTCCCTGTTAGGAAACAATCCATCAAAACTCTGTATGTACATGCCAGCTTGGATATGCAAAGAACATCCTGGAAAGACCTGAACACGAGTGACCTGGACACAGGAACAGGAGGCTAGGAGTGGGATGGGAGGGAGACCCCTTCCCTTGTGTAGCCCTCAGGAGCTCCTGAGCACCCTCTAGTATTCCTACAATGCCATGTGCCCATCTATCTGTTCATACGAACATCACAGAATTCTACACTTCCCCTAAAAAGAAAGTGGTGGACACACATGTGTCAATGCTAAAGGCCCAATAGGAGGTGGAAAGCTAGGGGGGCACGTGCTGCATGGCACAGGACAGAGTAGCCTGGCATCGAGGCCACGTGCACCCCAACCCACCGGGGTGTGCCTGCCCAGAGTAGCCGTGAACACCTGGGCTGGCACCAGGTGGAGACACGCACCACCCAATGGCCCCTACGGGCGTGGGAAGAAGGAACCTGAGCAGCAGGCCCACACCCCGTCTCTCCTGTGGGAAGGCAAAGGAAGGAGGCGGCCCAGTCAAGTCTCCACGGGACAGTGCCGATGGCAGAGCTCCAGGCCGTCTGCTGCAGGAGAAAGGTCTGGGATTGAGAACCTCCCTGCTTGCCTTGGCACATGTCCCTGACGTCACACAAGTGAGCAGCCTGACACTGGGTGTGATCTCACCACCGCTTCTTTCTGGCCTGATGCTGTGGCTGGACTGTCCTTCAGACGCACAAAGCACAGAGGCCAAGGAAGGGATGGTTATAGAGGACGCATGTGGAGCACACAGCAATGGGAGCCAGTTACAGGTACAGACTGGAGTGCATGGCAGAAGAGAAATTAGCAGAGAATCGCACTGCTTGGTGGTTGTCAGCAACCCTGTTAAGAAGCAGGCCCTGGAAGAGGAGGCAGGAGGGGAGAAGTGTAGGGCTGTTTCTCTTGTTACAGGAAAGTCACTTCATGCTTTAATGGGCTCCCAAGCAGATGTCACTCTCACCTACAGAGCATCTCACCTACAGACACTGATCATTTGCAAGACCAAACAGGTGGATGTGACCATTCCAGGCTCTAAGGAATCATGAGTTTCCCACTAAAGAGCTGTGTGCTTAGCAGAGAGACAGGAGCAGAAGCTGGTGAGGCGCTATTGGCACAGACTCCTACAGCTAATGGGGCAGGGGAACTAATTCCAGAAGCTGCTCAAGGGAAGGGGTTCTCGGGTTGAGGACCCATACCCAGTGCTGGGAACGTCTGGGGCAGAAGCCTCCAGATGGTGTGACATGTGACAAACCACCAGCTGTGGAGGGTGAGGGTGGGCTGGGAGACCCCCTGAGACGGCCCTGACCCAGTGGAGCCCCCTCCCAATATGGTAGGAAGGTTACAGGGATAAGCAGCCCTGGACTGGCTTCGGGATGACAGAGGAAAAGGCCTAGGCGGAGGCCACCCACACAGATTACGACGGGCTGTCATGGCGGATGCCTGTGGACGCCTCGTGTGGGCACGCTCACGGAAGCAGTGATCAGCTGAGTTCCCACCGACAGGGCTGCGTGGTGGACACTCACATCGTCCAATGAGGGGTGCGGATGGGAGCCAAGCAGGGCAGCTGAAGAAGGCAGAGGCCAGTGCAGCTGGGCAGAAGTGTCTGGACGTTGTTGAGGAGCAGGTAAGAAAAAAGGGGAAACGGGAGGACTTTCCACTATGGAGTTGATAGCACTCCCACCCTCTTCAATTCACTCTCTTGGTCTGGACAAATTCAAATCCAATAACAAGGACCATCCTTTAGAACAAAAAATATGCCAACAGGGCTGAACACACCCCTCAGCCAAAGCACAGGAAAAAAAGACAGACAGTGGCCAAGGATGGCCTGTAAGCTCTGTGAATTGGTCCCTCCTCATCACCACGTGGGGTCACCCAGAGACACCCAGCGTGGGGTCCTCCGGCTCTCCAGGGGCTAAGGGCTGCTCCATGGTCAGCCTTGAGTAGATGCCCAGTCACGTGCCAAGAGCTGGGAGAAGACAGCCCTCCCAGCAGACTCTGCTGGAGTCCCCTCGCACCTTGGAGACGTTTGTGCACACTATCTCCTTCAAAGGATTTAATAAAAGGAAAAATTTTAAATATCTAAATGTGTGGATCCCCAATTTTAAAACAGGGACATGAAACTATTAACTGTGCTAATTAACTAGGAGCAAGGGCACTGAATGGAGTCTTTCAGCCTTCGTTGAGCAGCAGTGATGCAATACCTAAACTTCATTCAAGGAAGGTATATTCTGTAATTTTAAAAACTTTTAAAAAGGAGGGAAATAGTTGCCCATAATCTTACAAACCACGGTTAACATAGTTAACACAGCATTTTCTCTCTGTGCACACCAGTGCTAAAACTGAAGCTTAGATGCAGGGAAGGTTTATATCTGATTTTAAATCCTTTCTTCCAAAATAAGTGAATAAATAATCTTACCCTGACAAACAAATCAATCCAATATAACCAGCACAGACTGAACAGGCCCAGCTTTTGATTTCCACTATGGGAGCAGACTCCTGTACTAGCCAAGATCAGAGCTTCCAGAATGCCCATCATAAACTAGTTTCAAAAATGTCTTAAACAAACGTATTTTGGTTAAATTATGCTTTTCTCCCATGTTTCTCATGTCAGACAAGAGTGGGGTGCACCTTCTCATCATCACAGCCACAGGTAGGACAGCCAACCCTCTACCCATGGGCCATTTGGGCTCCTGGGGCCCCACGGGTCCAGGTGGGCTGGATTCCAGCGGCTCTGCACACGCTGCATCCTGCCAGCACCCCCAGGCAGTTGAATCCCCATCTCAGGCTCTGCCTCTAGGAAACCCAGTCAATGGCAAGGTCGAGAGTAGGTGACCTGAGAGTTGCCTGAGGGCATGTGCACTTTCAGAGTCCCCATGAATGGTACACCCAACAGGGGTTGAAAACCAGCCCAAATGTACCCCCAGGTGCAGTGAAGGAGGGACGTGGGCCTCGGGGCTCCTGCGAAGGAGCTGCAGAGAAAGCAGCACAGCCCCTCAGAGAGCCCCAGGCCCAGAAAACAGTTCCACATAAGGGGGGAGCCCAGCAAGGGGCCCCTGGCTCACCCACCTGCGCCTGTTCCCCAGAGGTCTCCACCGTCCCACCGTAACCCTTGTTCCTGCTGGCTCCATTCTCTCCCTCGTCGTCCTCACTACTGTCACTGCCAGAATCTTCCAGGCCTGAGAACACACTCTCCTCGCTGTCAGATGGGCCAGAGTCGCTGCTGTCACCATGGCTGGAAGCAGGAGCGTAGAGGAGAGAGGGCTGCAAGGAAGCACAGGGTTGAGGACGCCACCCTCACCGGTTCACCCACTCGGCACCACACCAGGCAGCGCAGTGGGCAGCCCACACCGGCCCCTAAGGCCACACCCCTTGGGTCACAGCCTCCACCTCTACCAAAACCATCTGCCCAGCCTGGCCTTCCTCATCTACCTCCACTGAGAGCATGGCCACCACCCTTGGGACAGATATTTTAATTCCTGGCATCTCACAAGGGAGGGACTTTGCAAGGCCCCTTTTTAGAGCTTAGTTCCCATCCCGTTACTAAAAGTATTATCAAAACCTGCTGCCAACTAAAATTGTCCATGCCCCACCCGGGCACCCAAGGCCCCCAGAGCTGTGACAGCTCTAACTCGGGAGGGGTCTGGGGGCGGAGAGGGTTGGAATCCCCGAGGGGCTTTAACCACCTGAAGGAGAAGCCTTGTCATGCAAGATCGGACCGACGGTTCATCAGTAAATTTAAAAACTCGGTTGAAGAGTAATAAAAGTCACGCAAGCTTCTCTCGTGAACAAGTACAAGCCCACTCACTCCTGTCTGGGAGCAGGAGCTCCGCTTTCTCCCGGCAGAGCCCTGCTGACTGGACACCACTTGATGCCCCCCGTCTGCCTGACACGCGGCCACCGCCCTCCGAGAACACGGCTGAGTGCAGAACTGCAGCTCCCGCCGTTCCCTCAGTCTACCAGCCCACCTGACTGGACGCCCGCACTTCCCAGTCACTCGGCAGCGCTCGACTGGGACAGCGGGCCGGGGCAGCGGCAGGAGGGCATTTCCCACGACAGAGGCAGCGCTCAGGGCCGGACGGCAGCCAACGCGGGCTCCCCGCGCTCAGGGCCTCTGCACCTCACCGCACGCGGACGCCCGGGCAAGAGCACGGACGAGCACCGCCGGGCCGCCACCCCCGCCCCAGCTCCGCGCCCG